CCCCCCCCCAAAGGCTAAGTTTGTTCGATATATATAAAGACGTATGGGTCCAAGCGAACGGCGCTAGCAGTCCAAGCAGGCCTGGCCCCTGCCGAACGAAGTGGCTTCGGAGCGAAGAAAAGCATGCAACTTCGTTTGGTGGAAGGGCGAAGGGCGTGCCTGCTTCTTTTTATTAATTTTTGTAACGGCTCTCAGAGCAAAACTTGCTCTGCTACACTTAATTCGAGTTAAGGTACTGTCACGGTATGAAACAAGCAGGCCCACCCTTCCGCCAAACGCAGTTGCCAGCTCACTCCGCTGCGCTGGCAACTCCGTTCAGCAGGGGCCGGGCCTGCGGCCCGACCATTTCAGTCTCGCGATTTACTGAAAAACATAACCAAATAAATCATGTGACCGGTAAATCACTTTGCATATTTGAGAAAAATAATGTCCGGCTTGGGGCCTGCGGCCCTAGAGATTTGCTCCTTTCACATGACAAAAGACTGTAACAGGGCAACACCGTGAACCGGTGTGGAACAAAAGTTGGTAAAAAGATCGCCTTCTTGTCGTTATTTGTGAAACGTAGCCGTACCCCTGCCCACTTCTTAAATTTAGAAATATTCTGCCTTGAGCGTGCGCTGCAAGGAGGGCGAGCGCATGCGTCTCAGCACACTAGTCACTGTGGCCGAGTGGATACAGTGCCTGTCCGTGGAAACCCAAGTCGACGAAGCGCAGCTGTACGATCCCCGCTAGCCGCCTCTTTTGCCTTTTGTCACACACAAGCTCCTTGCAGCGCACGCTCAAGGCAGAATATTTCTAAATGTAAGTGGTGGGCAGGGCTACGACTTGATTTCGATGTGAAGATATATGGGCACACAAAGGAGTTGGTAGGCATAAACAATCGGCGCAAGCTTACATTTTCCCACAAACTTCACGAGAAATATTCTGCAGGGTGCGCGCGCTGCAGGGAGAGCGAGCGCAAGCGTCCCAGCACACTGTAGTCACTGTGGCCGAGTGGATACAGTGCCTGTCCGTGGAAACCCAAGTCGACGAAGCGCAGCGGTTCGATCCCCGCTAGCCGCCTCTTTTGCCTTTTGACACACAAAAGGTTAAGGTAAATTTGTCGTTTTTTAGTCGTAAAACGGACCACGTTTAGGCGTGAAATAACGACAATCAAATGCATTGCAACGATACGCAAGAAGTTCGCGTGCTTGTCGTTATTGCGCCCTAAATTGGTTGTTAACTTAACGTTTCGTAGACGCGATTTGCGTCGCAAATAACGACAAGAAGACGATCTTTTTACCAAATTTTGTTCCACACGGGAATACACCCCACCCTTCTGCTTTGCTGAGGAAAAATACAAAAAAAAATGAACAAGCGCAGTTTTTAGATTGTATTGTTTGTCAAGCCGTCTTAACACTAGAACTACCGGAGGGGTCAAAATGACCCCTTTCGATTTTGAATTGCCAAATGAAGTATCGAAAAAAAATTCCACCGACCCGCCACTTTTTGACTTTTCATGGGTCACGAAAATACGCTTTGACACGAAAAACCAGGCATGTGCGTCAAAAACTTTAGGAGATATTATAACATATACCTAGCTCTACCGAAGGGGTCATTTTGACCGAAAATAAGAAGTTGTGCACCCAAAACCGCAGTCTTTTCACATCTAAAACGGCGAAATAGTACCTAGGGGTCAAAATGACCCCTCCGGTAGATCTAGGTATACGAAAATCCCGGTAATTCTAGTGTTAAAACTTGACTTTTTCCCACTGTTTTCAATATATCCACCTCTAGGGTCGAAACAGTTTAAGATACGGCAATTCCGAGGGTAGATCCTAATTAAGAATGTGTTGGTTTGGGGGTGTACTTCCTCTGACATTTTACGATTGGCTTATAAAATCTTCCCTAAGGGAAATTTTCGATGCCTCTCCGGGTCAAATTCTTTCTTTAGTCCATAAGTACCCTCCTGCCAAGTGGCATTGCTTGACACAAAATGCAGTATCCCCCGGATTCAGAGATGTAGACCGCCCAGGGGCGGACTGGGTGGTCAGGGGCCCGGGTGGGAAATCTGGAAGGGGGGCCCGGTTTTGCCTACCTTTCAGGGGCAAACTATACGTAATAAAGCACACCAAGTGGTACATGTCTGACCTGTTTTACTTAAATATTTGACGCGATTTAGGTGCATAGTGTTTTTGTAGTACAATAAACAACGCGAGCGAAGCGAGCGTAAAAAAATCTGGTTATGCCCGAACCATTTCTATTAAGTTTTGATTTCTAAACTATTACAAGGCGCTTCAACCTAGGGCCCAGGCCGGGGCCCCTGGTCCCACGTTGCGCCTAGGACTTGGGCCCTTGGCTCGGTCCCTTCGTTTGAGCCCTTCGGGCCCGAGATGTCTGGGACCAAGCCAGGGCAGGGGACCCTCGGCCCTTCTGGGCCCTCGGACCCTCTGCGCCCTCGGGTCCTATGGGCCCTCGGCGCCTCTAAGATTTCCGGGCCCTCCGGGCGCGCTGGGCCGAACCCCGGGCCGGGCCCCTGGCCGGATCGGGCCCTTCGGGCCCGCGGTGCCCGAGGTCGGGTGCGGGGGGCCCGCGGCCCCCTTCGGGGGCCCAGGTGGGGATTCCCACCTCCCCACCCTGGCCAGTCCGCCACTGAACCGCCCACTAAGGGGCCGCTGCTTCACCACCCAGAACAAGTTGGCTTCGACTTCATCACACAGAATCCTCACGACACAGAAAATTACCACAGAAACCGTTAAACTGTTTCTTTCGGGCGAGAATTGTCTCTGCTTCTTACTACGGTGGCCCACAGACTATGAATAATGGGGCTGGGAGAAACAAAATTTGGTTCCTGAAACCAACAAAAATTTAGGAACCTAACATTATTTTACTAAATATGGTGGCACTACTCAGCCCGCATGGAAATAAGTATATCCAAATGACACTTTCGGGTATACTTTTGTACAAGGTATACATTAGGTATACTTAAAATATAGCAGATTGGAACCGCAACACTTTGGTGGCACTTAAGGCAAACTTTTTTCATACTTTTTGTATACCTTTTTTACACTTTTAAGACACTTTGGCGTGTCACTTTTTGAGCTCTTTTTTTCCGTGCGGGAGAATAAGTAAACTCCACTAAATTGCCTCATTGTCACGGATAAAATTTGGTTTGCCAAGCTGAAATTCCAACGGTCTTGCATTTGGTTCCCTGGACTAAACTGTTTTTTGAGTGCTCCTCTTATGAAAATTTCAAGAGAAATTTTCCGGTGTAGATTGAAATGTGTTTGCTTTTGGCAGGTGCATGCTCTCGGTGTCACCTTCAACTCGTGGCGCGTCATGTTGGCCCTCATAGCCGGACCCAGCCTGGTGTGCGCTTGCCTCGCGCTGCGCCTCCCAGAGACCCCCAAGTTCCTCATGTCCCAGGGTCGGTGTACGGAGGCGATGGGTGTACTGCGCAGCATGTATGCCGCGAATACGGGCCGCGCCAGTGACCAGTACCCGGTGCGAAGGCTGGCGCTGCCGCCTCGAGACGCCTGCTCCGGCGGTCAAGTCGAGCTGGACGCTGCCTTGAACCTGGGCTTTAAATCGTTAAACGCGGTGGCGCGGCGCATGGTGACCCAAGCTTCGTCACTGTTCCGCGCGCCCTTACTCGGGCGCACCCTGCTGGTCTGTGCGATCCTGAGCACCAACGAGTTTAGCTACTACGGTTTGGTGCTGTGGCTGCCCGAACTTTTCAACCGATTCGACACGCACTACAGCCTGCACCCCAACGAGACTATTACGGTGTGCCAACTTTCCCAGTGCTGGGCTGACGAGCTGCGGGACCTGGAGCTGCTAGAGGCGGACAATGGCAGCAGCAGCAGTGCAGCCGACATGGTCGGTAGCCCGACGTGCAACGTGGACGAGGCCATCAATGAGACTGTGTTCGTGAAGACCCTTATCATAAGCACAGTGTGCCTCGTCGCCTATGTGGTGACCGCCCCTCTCGCCAGTAGGGTCGGCCGCCGCGCTTTGCCCTTTTTCTTGAACTTGGGGTCTGGGATCCTGGCTGCCGCCATCTACTTCGTCAATTCCACTACCAGCAACCTTGTAGTGGCAAGTCTTTTCCAGGCCTTCGTTGGCACGGCCAACACTGCCATCCTCTCCATCTTGGCGGACATATTCCCTACTAGAGTGAGGTGAGAATGTGATGGTGAAACTGCGCTCCTCTATAACACGTTGAGTGTGGCGTGAACCACATTAGGTCCCGGGCCACATAACGTTTGTTGTTTCTACTGCAGTGCTGTCGGCGTGTGTTCTGCTGTCTTCGCCGGCCGAGTTAGTGCTGCGGTGAGCAACATTGTGATGGGCTCACTTCTGGACATCAGCTGTGAGGTCCCAATCTTTCTCATCTCGGGCTCCGCGATTGGTGTGTATTTTGGGTTCAGGCCTCTTTTCCCACTAAGGTTGGGAATTGACTCCATGCTAGTGTTCTCAATCGGGCGGGTAAGAGTTGGTTGGAGCGCTTGCCCGACGCTCCCAGCGTAAGAGTGAGACAGCATGATGCAGCCGGCAGTTGTCTCTGTCGCTCACGTCACACTCTCAGTCCGCCGATGCAGTCAGACAGGCACGACTCCCGGCGCTCGGCCGCAGCAGCGTCACCTGTCCCCGCAACCTCACCTCTCGCCCTGTTGGTCCGGCAGAGGAAAGGGTCTACGTCCGAACAGCGTGCGGACGCGGGCCGAGGGCAGGCGATTCGGAAGGTGTTTCGGCCGGGCTAGAGCTCGACCGACATACCCGACGCAGCCTAGTCGGGTCGGGTGAAGACGGCAGCGCAGTCGGGCAAGCCGGAGAGGAGCTAACCCGCCCGATTGAGAACACTACTCCATGCCCACTGGGCAAGATGCAAATCTCTATGGTTTCCAATCGACTTCAAATTTTCGGAATCGTTTGAACACGACACTAAAGAAGAGCAAAGATATTAAAGCTCAAATATGGGACTCGGGGTGTCGCGCGCGCGCTGTTACACATTTGTTAATACACTATTAACAACCTCGGCCCACTCTTCCCCCAAACCAAGTTGCCAGCTCCGCTTCGCTCCACCGGCAACTCGGTTCGGCAGTGAGCGTCCTAGCTTGGCCTGCCGGCAGCGTTTTCTGATTTTTCATGGTGTGATAAAGCTTTCATCGGAAAATGGGCCTTCGGCGCCCTCGGCCCGTTTGAGTGACAGCTCGCGTTGAACCATCTTTTCGCCAGGTACCTTTGCTGTCTTCTTCGTAATCAAAACTCAACAAACGAAGCATTCTTTTCATACGCTGAACATCTTTGGCTGTGCGTGCCGCAATTTGTAGAATACATGCAGGTCATGCCAAATCCCTTCTAAGTTTTTGATGTTAGCTTATGGATCCAATAACACACATATGAAAAGACACATAAGACGAGACCCAGAAGAAGTTAAATATACTTCCAGGCATACTCTGAAATAACTCCGGACGTGTCAGAAATGATTTCGCTATAATTTACTGATTGAAAGGAAGCAGCTTGTGAAGCACAACAAAACAACGAAATAAAAGTTTGTTTCGTTTCTTGTTTTTTTTTGGCATGGCAGTGTACACATTTTGTTAATGATGTGCCAACGTAAAATAAGCGCACTCTTCTGCTTAGAAGAAAATTTTAAACCAACGGCATACTTCTCAGACAAAAGTGTACTCCTAAAAGAAATGAAAAAGGTTCTGTTTTGGCCATTTCGGTAAGAAAAATTCCTTTTTGTTAGTAAACAGTGAAAGCCAAACGGACAACATTCTAGCCCAGAGGGTTCTTTTTTCACGATTTACCTCTTTGAAAACATTTTCTTAAAAGAAAATATTTATTTTTGGGCCCATTTTTCTTAAAAAAAAGTCCCTCTAGCGTCTCAACGGTGAGAGATAGAGCCAAACGGACGAAATTTTAGCCCAACGGGCTCTTCATATCGATTTACCCCTCAGGAGACCATCAAATATTTTCAAAAAAAAATATATTAACTTTTGGGCCACTTTTGTGAGAGAAACTCCCTCTAGCGTCTCAACGGTGAGAGAGAGAGCAAAACGGACGAAATTTCCGCCCCAAAGACTTTACTCACTCGGGTACCCCTTAGAAGACCATAAAAAAAAAACAAACATTTTTTTCTCACTTCTTGGACCATTTGTTTGTTACCCCCTCAGACCCACTCAGGGGTGTTTGCCAGGATTTGCACCAACCGTTTCGTTGTTCAGAAGTGACAACAATAATACCCTGAAAATTTTAGACCTCGGACAGACGGACACGAGACTTGGAAGCGTCCGCGTAGGTGTGATACTTGCCTCGAGCTGGACAGCACAGCCAGCCGTAGAAGAACGGGGAGCGCACGCCGGGCCGGGTGGGTCGAGAGAGACAGACTTTTGCAAATATCAGTGAGTGCGACAGAGACAGACTATGTAACCGGCCGGCTCGGCTCGCACTAGCTGAGCTGAGGCTGCCGGTGGTAGTGTTTCCAATTGGGCGGGCAAGCCACGGGACCTCTGGTCTATATGCACTCCTCGGGTGGGTTTGTTTACGTATTCAAACTCTTGAACTTATATACTCTTTCGTTCAAGCTAAACTTGCCGAGTCAACAACCCACCCTCGAAATTCGCACCGTGGGCTAGCGATTCTCCTCTAACTGCCCACAATTAAATTTGATAATTCACGCACCCACGCATCTGAATTTACGCCAACAGCTTGGTAAATTTACCTTACCACCCGTGGGCAAGTAAGAGGACAGGGGTCAGTAACGGAACCGCGAACGGAAAATTAAAAGCCGTTACAATGCTAGCGTTTCACGTTACGTTACGACCAATAACAAAAAATCGGTCGCGCAACCATAAGAGTACCGTCAAAACATTCGCTGGAAATCAATTCAATAGACAAACACCTGCCCTTGGACCAGATTAAACTGCAAAGTTGTTACTGTTACACAATCTCAACAAAATTACAAGTTATAGTATCAATTTTGAAACAAAATTTTATAACCTTGGATTCAGATTCAAAATTGTTGGCTGAGCGATTAGCGAAGCCTATTACTCCGTCTGGTCGAAAAAAACTTTGTCTGTCTGTCTGTCTGTCTGTCTGTCTGCACGTCTGTCTGTCTGTCTGTCTGTCCGCACGATAACTCGAGAACGAATTGAGCGAGCGACCTGGGATTTTTAGGGTCGTTTTGTGTTATAAAAAGACAGATCGAGTTCGAAGATGAGCATTCTAGCTCAAAAATTGGATTTTTAAAAAATCAAAAAAATATTTTTTTTATGGTTTCCTAAGGGGTAACTCATCAAAGTAGAGCCCTATGGGCGAAAATTTGGTCCGTTTTGCTCTAGCTCAAACCGTTCAGGCGCTTGAGGGTATTTTTAACGAAAATAAGCGAAAATTGTACAACTCTGTATGCTTAGTCGAGGTGACGGGACGTTGACGGGCCGTAGGCCTGCATCTTTGTGTACATTTTCCAACCACCCGACTCGGGTGTCAGCGCCGCAGGCCAAGGTAGATGTATGCCAGGCGCGTCGCAGCGTAACAGTGTTTCGTGAGATATCGCGAAGCCTGTTACGCGAGACGTGGTCTGGCGTGCATCTACCTTGTATAATATTATGACAAATTTGTCTTGTAATTGTTCCACAAAATTGTAACCGACGTATGAACTTTAACAATACAATACAAACAAATGTGTAACTGTTGCGGGTTTTTGTGATCGTAACAAATATTTGTGACCTTGTTAGAGCCACTGAACCTATTTCGGATCAGCCCCTATTTCGGTTCAATAAGACACACACTAGGGAGGTGTGAAAGTCCGCTTTTTGTAGTCGTCGAAATCTAGAGGTAATTTTACTTTCGCGATCGGAATAATTCTTGAACTCGAGATTTGAGCTTGAGGTTTAATATCCTAAGGCTCTTATGGGAATTTATGCCAAAAACAGGAAATTTGGACTACAGAGTTTATATCACGGACCAAAACTAAGACAAAGACCGTATCCGCAGTCTACGTAAAAAAAAACGATTCAAACCACGTTTCAAATGCCTTACTCAGTCATCTAATAACAGTTTTAGAGAAAGTAAATTTAGCCATTTTCACTAAAAAAACATTAATTTTTGGAAAATTTATTCGGAAATTAGAGGAAGGAGCATGGCATGCGGAACGCATGGTTTGTTACGTTGCCCACGGATATGGCCTTAGATTTTGTCTGTGACGAAGTCTTTGCGGTCCAGGCTTAATTTTCTGTTTTTGTCATAAATGCCCATAAGAATCTTGTGTCAAATTTTAAGCTTAAATCTCGAGTTCAAGATTAAGTCCGATCGCAAAAAAAAATTATCCCTGTGCTGTGGACGTGCAAAGGCAACTTTTCCGCACTATTTCGATTCGGCGACTACATAAAGCCGACTTTCGCACCTCCCTACTACAGACGCTCCGTCGCTAAAATGTGTGGGGTTTAATTCTTTAGGTGAAAAGGTTTGTCGTTTTCTACCAGAAAATACCACCGCACCGCCCCAGTGCGGCCCGCGCGGGCCGCGCGGCCAAGTTGAACATTAACATTTATCGTGTAGGAGGTGGGAGAATGTTGTGGTTTGCTCAAATTCACATTACTCGGTATGTACGTACAATTTCGCGTCGACCCAGGTATCAATCTTAAGTTGAAGCCCCAGAAAACACGTTTTAAATGTGGATTCGATCTAATATCACAGATTAAAACGCGGGTAGAGGTTTTAGTGCTATTATTACTTTGTTTTGTCACAGGATATTTCAAAGGGTTGCTTTAGGATCCATACTTGGTTATTAAGGTACAGCGGAAACCCACTATTTTAGATTCTAATGTCGGCTCACTTTCGAAAATGTTCTACTAGTAGAGGTGATTGACGGTGCAAGAGAGATTTTTTGTGCGACTTCATCTTACGCCCCAAATAGTGCCTTCAACTTTATTATTGAACTATGGAGAAAACCCTCAAAAGTGAAATTAGCCATTTAATGCTTTGTGGTAATTTTTTTTACGAAAGTTCTTTTAGAAATGCAATCTACGCTAAAAAGAGCACGTTACGTCACGTCACAATTTATCCTCGCCCTCGTTGTTCGTTGGGTTCGTGAGGTGGCTAGTCGCAAAAAAGCCTTTATTATCCGATTTCAGCAAAATTACCGTGTCACAACTCCCAAACTTTGAGGACGATCATTATGTGGGGCACGTCACCGGACGTGTTTTCATGCGTAGATTGCATTTCCAACAAAGTTATCTTTTTTAAAAAATCAGCAGAAAGCATTTAATACAAAAAGTCACTTTGGAAGTTTTTCTCCATAAGAAGTCAATGTAAAAGTTTAAGACATTTTTGGCGAAAGATGAAGTCGCACAAAAAATCTCTTTTGCACCGTTTACTCACTTTACTAGTAGAACATTTTCCAAAGTGAACCGACATCTATATCTGAAATTGGTTTTTCGCTGTACCTTATTGCACAGCACTGTTCATACCGAGAGCTTATGTATTCAATTTCAGTGAGCGGCCTGCTGAGCATCTTGGTGCAGCCCCCCTGGCTGGCGAACAGCATTTCACCGCCACTGCCCCTTGGCGACAGCTCATCCGGGCCTACTCTTAAGGAGGTCTGCGAGCACGACGTACAACCCTACCGACCCAAGACCACACTCGATATCTACGTCATCGGCGTCACGAGAAGTCCTTCTGCCTCCCGGTGCATGAGAACTTAGTCCAGGAAAGATGCTACAAATCGATAAACGCAACGTAAGCTGGACTGTGATGATAAAAATAAAATAAAAAAACATACCCCTCAAGGTTTTCCTCAACCGTTTGTTCTCACTCAGTCATGAGTATCTTTTTCAAAGTAAAGAAAATTTGAATACGTTACTTTGTTGATTTCAGTTTGAAAAACTTCCTCCAGTGCAGTTGGAGATTAAAGCTAAAAATAGCGATAGAATTCAGAAACCTAAATTTCAGGCTGGAATAATTTTTTCAGTATTGTAACCCGGACCTCTGCTTTGAAAAACTTTGAAATTGGGATGACGAATTCGCTCTTTTGTCCGTCTGTCGCTGCGTAACAGCAAGGAAAGATGAGTAAGTTAGAGGTCTAAAATTCGCTGCGTTATAGGAATAAATAAGCGAGGGGGCCACCACTTCGTTTGAGGATGTACACAGAATTACGTGGTTACAGGGATTACACGTCAATTTTGAGTGACTACACGTGAGTTACGTTGAATTTTAGGGCCTAAAACAATCAACTTTGGACAATAAGGTAAAATTTAGTGATAATATTTTAAAATTTGGTCAAGGATTACAAGGAATAGATACGGATTTCGTAGGGATTACACCTATATCTGTACACAGTATTACGCGAGTGGTGGCCCCCTCGGAATAAAGTCCCACGCGTCTCAAACAAAGACCCCATGGGAACAGAATGGGCTATCTACGTGGACTCAACGTGTACTACGTGGATATATACACGTAGATCTATCCCTTTAGCCTCAAGGTGGATTCAACGTGGAACTCGGGTGGACTGAACCATGTAGATTATTCACCGTGCAGTCCACGTCGATTTGTTACTTGCCACTCCCTCTCGATGATTATACATCTGATCCACGTAGACGTAAACTAGACCGTTTTTAGCGATGCGAAATATGTCGTTTCCTCGTAGATGTATCGTTCTTTTGTCAATGTCCATTCGTCTACGAGATATGTACATAGATCAACGTATGATGTGACCTACATTGATGCGTCAACTTCACATCTCTTCGTCATTTTTGTTGATCTAGGAATGTGGGCGAAGAGAGGCTCTGTCGACATCGACGCAACGTTCACTAATCATGGTCTTTTACATCTCTCATCAATATATACGTTTTCGAACATGGTCCTTTCGCATAGCATTCACATAATGTTCTCATCAGGTTTGAAGCTGATGATGTCCAAAAACTTGGTTCCTACTTTGGTCCAGACATTTTGCATTTTGCACTAGTAGAATCCATGTGGATGCAACGTGGTTGAGATAGACAGATCGTTCTGGATTGAGATAGGTTTCAGTCGGCTTCCTCGCTAAGTTGTCACGGTGGCGTCGTGGTTAGAGGCGTCAACTACGGAGCAGCAGGTCCCAGGGTTAACTCCCGGTAAGGTATCAATCGAGTTTTCATTAGAAGTTGTTGTAATGAAGTATTCAGAGGGTCTCCTCTAACCAAAGAAGTACAAACAAAATTAAATCCTTAAAAAAGTAAATAAAATTTTAACTGGCGCCATACTACTAAAATTATTTTTGCCGTTACGGGGATGCCAGGATCATTCTACGTCGAAACAGCGTGTAGGGGCGGACTGATCAATGTTGGTTCTACGTGAAATCTACTACCGTTTGGCACTGGATGATCGACTCGATCATCCACGTCGTGTCGAGGTGGTTCGACCACGTCCCAGCTATGTGGATTCGATATGGGTGTTCCCATGGGGGAGGCCAACGTCTCTCTCTGCTCTGTCAGAAAGTCCGATTTTCCGGGTGACGAACGGTTTGTGCACGGAAGTGTGGAGTGAATTGTATTTGTTCTAACATTATTGAAGCAAATGCCGAGTACTTTCCGTAAGAAATTTAACTTATCATGCGGCTGTGTGGTTTTGGTCACATAAGAACAATAATGGTGCCACACTGCAATAAATTCAAGTTTCCGTTGTCATACTCTTTTAGGGCGAGGGCCCGTAAGTTCAAGTCTCTATCGGGGGTGTAAGTCTTAGGCCCTATGGTGGGTATGACCCGTTTAAAAAAGATTTACCCCAAGAAGTTGCCGAAATCAGCCCGAAAGAGCCCCGGAGGCCACGGGCAGTCCCGCACTTTGTCCGCAGGCATGCCGGACTGTCCCAAATTCAGTCCGTCGCGTCTCCGGGTCACCCCGTGATCAGCCCGGCCCTGGGTGTCGGGGAAACCGAAATCTGCCTGGGGACCTCCCGGCGCCCGGGCAACCGCAGAATCTGCCCCATGTGCCGGAAAACCCGGAAACAGCCCGGCTTAAGACCGTCGCGGACAGGTCGCTGGTTGTCTGAACATAATGTGGACAGGAACATTTCACGTCAAGATTGATAAAACTTATATACTTTAAAGTTATAATAGCAAAATATCAGAGGCATTCTCTATCTTTAAACAAACAAACGAATTAATTGCACTATTTTGTACATGGCACACGGGATTTCAATCTGACTTATAAGATTTCGTATAAATCCATGTACGAAATCTTGGATTATTTTGCAAAAACTGTACGTAAGAACGCAAGATTTTTGTACTTAACTTTTCCGTGCGCATAGACATACGTAACTATGTGTCAAATATGACAAAATAATTTAATGTCCATAACACAACTTCCTCGGTAACTTCCTTTTATTGCATGCCCAGCGGTATTGAACAAAGTCCAACGCCTTCATTTAATCGTTCAGAACACGTCATTTTTTTATGTTGAAGGTCGTTCGGCATATCCTTAACAGAGCCCAGTACATAAGCGAAGGCATTTCCCGAAAACCGCAACGCGATGCGCCAATTGGTTCGCTGTGAAAGGCATCATTTCTGTAAAGACTGCGCATCTAGTTGAAGGACTCTTCATGAGGCATCTCCTCTCAGCCGTCACCGTAGCTCGGTTGGAAAGAGCGTCAGTCAAAAGAACAGAAACCCGTAGGGTAAGGTATCGAATACCGCTTGTTTCCCTATTTTCGTGACCGTTGGGTGGGCTCGGGCGTCCCCGAAAACAGGCCGAAGGCGCCTCCGGGCATACCCAGAAACTTTCGGTTTTTGTCACTTCTGGGGTGTGCTTCAGGGCTGCCGGCTAGGTACTTCGGACTAACCCGAAAAGAGCCCGCGCGTCTGGTCTGTTCCGGGGACTGATCATTTTTAAACGGGGATCTATCGGGTGTTGGGAGTCACAAGTCACTGGGTACGTGATCGGGTCACGTGGTGTGGTATTTAACCGGCCGGCGAGGTGACTACGATGGCAGCACCCTAAACACGATTGCGCAGTGCATGTACGACTCAGAACTACAAGCGAGCTTGCAACAGTTCGTGAATACGCAGCCCACGCAAGACCTGAAAGAATACGTGAGAGAAGCATTTGAAATAAACTTTGCTTCGTGGTGCAAAACCCATTCGCACCTCCCGTGTGAAGAATAAAGAGCGGAAAGGAGTCCTAAAGAAACATGGAGAAACATCGCAAGTAAGTCGCACAGCCACCACATGCGGGATGCGTATGGTCGCTTTCTGGATCCCTAACCCTATTTCTTGTGTAAATCGCTTCAATATTCGACAACCGAATGCGGTCCGTATCGGGGATCTTCTATGCGTCATGTACTTCGACGCATTATGCCTATTCCGAGCTCGGCATGCCAGTGAACGTTGGAGAAGACTTGAGATCTGAAAGGCTCCAACAGCAATCGCATAAGGATCGGCTTGGATGCATCCCGAAAATTTCACGTGTATATGCGACTATATCGGGAGCCAGCGGACTTGGAGTGCACCTCTCTTTACCCGAGATCAAGTATCTACTCAGCGATGAATGCCGCAAGAGAGTAATGGCTCATTTTCAAGTCCCACAGAGCCCCTGGCGCTTGCCAGAGTTTTGGAAATTGTGTTTTTCAACGTATCAAAATCACTGATGATTCACCGGCTCTAAAGATTTCGCGGTCAGATGGTCATCAGTCTCCACCAGTCTCGGCATCATAACGATAACTCGATGGTACGAATTAATGCCAATGTTGTTAAATTATTTAGAAGTGTTGGAAAACGAAGCGATTCAGGCCGAAGAGTAGTTATTTTGAGCCTTAGCAATTGTAAAAGAGGATTCTTCCCGCCAGGGATTGGGCCCCATTCAGTCTGAAAAGAAGGTCCAGCTAATTGTTTATAAATCGGGCCTCTCGATTGTTTCGCAATGCGGCGCATCAAGAAATCATGAAATCGAATTTCAATTGGATATGTTTTTCCGCCGCAACGTACTCATGGGCAGGATGGTGTATGACTTTCTTGAACTATTCTTGTGAAACGACATATATGGCAATGTATTATTAAAATGGGAATAAAGGAAAATGCAATCATGATGTACTTTTTTAATAATTTATTTTTCATTTGTCTTAGATTTTATGCACACTTTTACACACACACACACACACACACACACGTACTTATGAGCTATGACACACATTTTCAAAGACACATAGGAATAAATATGACTAGTGACAGCCAGCGACAGCAAGGCGTGGAAGCACCATAGGTCTTTTATTTTTTTCCTTCCTATGTAAGAAATATGACCCTAATAGAAAACGAAGGTCCTATTCTGTCCCTAGTTTGTTCCAAAGTTGTCCCTCAAATTTGTGAGGGACTAGAACGGGATTTCGCTTGTTTTGAAATCCCTCCGAAGTTCCAGTTTGGTGAAATCCCTCCGAAGTCCCTTTTCTCTCCGGCCCGCCTTTTGGTGCCGTTTTCAGAAGATAGAGAAGGAGGCTTCCTGGACAATTTTAAGTACGTCAGACGACATCAGATGGGCCGTAGATACACTACATGTGTGTGTATAGGTACATACTCGACGTAGTTAGAGACAAATAGGAGCGCTGTAGCGCTTTGCAGTACAGACTGGAGGGTACCCTCGGAGGGACTTCCGCGGGACTTCAGAGGCTGGGATTCTTCCAAATCCCTAAGTCCTGTTTTGCCCCCTTTTGGTACTTCTGGGGGATTTGGGATAGGACCTACGGAGGGATTTCAAAATTGGGACTCCGGAGGACCTTCGTTTTCTATTAGGGGATTGACAAAACAACTTGAGTGAGCGGTAATCTATCTGACATT